TGTGTGTGTGTGTGTGTGTGTGTGTGTGTGTGTGTGTGTGTGTGTGTCTGTGTGTGTGTGTGTGTGTGAATGGAGCCTGCAGGCATCTCTATGAACGTGTGTGTGCTATGATGAATGTGCTACCTGGAAACAGCAAGGTCAAAGCTCAGTCAGTCTGATCAATATTGACTCTGTGTGTGTGTGTGTGTCTGTGTGGGTGTGTGTCTGTGTATACAGTATGTGTGTGCAGGTGCTGTCACACATGTATGTTTGCGTGTGTGTAACTGATTACATTAGGATTTTGTGTAAACGGAGCTGAGATTTCAGTCATTGTGGCGCAGTGCTACAGAATGTGTGCTCGTTGTGTTTGTAGGACTTTCTGTCAATGTTTATTGTTTTTTTCTACCTGCGTAATCCAGACATTAATATTTGCTAATTTTTGTTGCTCTTTTGTTTGTTTGTTTGTTTGTTTATATTGTTTGGACCACAAACAACATAAACAACATATATGTTTACACTGTCCAGGTTAGCTTACAGTAACGTTATATAACATCCTATCCTACATTTTTCGTTATCATTTTATCCGTATGGCTTTGGAAGTGTGTGTTTGTGTATTCTTTATATTCTGCTGATATTTTGCTGCTTGTGTACGTTTGTGTAGCACCAGCAGCAAGTGGTCCAAGCAGTGGAGAGAGCCAAGCAGGTCACAATGGCTGAGCTCAATGCCATTATTGGGGTGAGTCGCAACAAAACAAAACTCACTAAGTAAAGTTGTGTCAGCACAGAAACACAGGTTTGTCCCCAAAAAAATCTTTAGTTTATAAAAATAAAAAATACTCRTAAACATGACACTATTTCAAAAATGTCTTCATCATCTACACATAAATGCAAAAATTGCCTCAAATCACTCTGTCCACTTAAAATGTCCAATCGGTTCCCACTAAACGTTACTGAATGTGACGTCACATTTTTTTCTGCACGTGCAGGACTCGCATCAGTGCTGTGGAGAGTTCACACTTGGAGTCTGACGGAGGTTGAATTTAAATTATAATGTGAACGTCCATGCAAAAAACAAAATTGATTTTAGAAAAAAATCTGAATTGAGCATTAAAACCTGCAGTGTGAACGTAGCCCCGGTGTCTGTTTTTATCTTTAGTTTAATTCAAGTAAATCAATTAAACCTGCTGGGGACAAGTTGGTGAATTTTATTTTCAGTTGGTTCTTTGTGTGAGTCACAGGGGTTTGCAGTCTAGTTCCTTGAGCTTTGAACATTTGAGATACAAACTAAATCTTAGTCTGCCCCATGCTGGTCAGTCTGATCCTCAGTTAGGTCCAGAACTATGATCATGGTCTGTACTACTATCTGACACTGGTGTTGATTAACAATAGTCTGTAGGAATCTATTGCCCCCTATCCTTCTGGAGTCGTTATTTACCATAAAAAACTTGAGTTATTTTATCCTTGATATAAAATACACAAAATTACCATATTGTTTTTTACTACCTCATTCACTGTTTTTTTGTTGTTGTTTTTTTTGCCACAGCAATGGTATTCACACATTATGTAAAAGTGTCGACACTGGGGTTTGAAAAGACTCAAAACAAGAATCAACTCAAGATTTTATGCAAGTAAAAGTGTAAAAGCACTGGTTTTAAAACTACTTCAAATATAAAAGCAAAAGTAATGTTGGGGGAAAAGGCCATTAAGGATAAAAGCTTAGACTGTGCAACAGGGGTCTATAGTGCACAACCCCACATTCCTAAAATCGATTTTCTAGAAGCAGTAATGACTATAAAATATAATAAAATTTTAATGTTTGTGAAATTCTTTAAAATTTGGGAGGCACTAGGCTTCCTGTTTCAGCTAATGTCCTGGAGTGTGACGATTTGTGATGGATCTTACAAACCAGCAGGGTGTCGAATGGTCTGTATCTTCGAGGCAACACATATCTGGATAGTTTTATTTTTTTCTGAGTAAGGACAAGCCGGAATGAAAACAAGTCAAAGTGAAACAGAAACGAAATACTTTTACATTTTTAAATTGTAAGGAGTAGAAGTAAAAAGTTGGCTGAAAAATAACGACTCCAGTAAAGTATAATAAACCTAACTTTCTACTTAAGAAGCAAAGTATTTGTACTTCACTACTTGACACCTTTGCACTGGACAGATTAGTTTTCTACTAAATGCTAAACATTTGATAGCACGCTTGTAATTAAGACAGCCACTGGACACATTGTGGCTCAGCTGAAGAGAATAAAACGAGTAATTTCTGTCCTGCCAGTCAGTTTAAAAAGCTTTAAGTCTGGTAAGAACAGTAATCATACTAATGCTTCCTTAGCATCCGGTTACAGAACGCTGCAGTTAATCTGCTTTTTCTTAATCAGACTAAATATTTGATGCTGTGAAATAACATGTTACCTGTAATACACCATGATCAGCTGAGCAGCTGTAACATCAGTCATGGGTAATGCTGTGAGTTGAACACAGGGATGCTCCTGAGTGCTGGAGATGAGGCTCTGATCACATTACTGAAAGCCCTTTGTTCCTCCCAGCACTGCCTCTCTCTCTCTCNCTCTCTCTCTCTCTCTCTCTCTCTCTCTCTCTCTCTCTCTCTCTCTCTCTCTCTCTCTCTCTCTCTGAGGTGTGGGTTTATGTGTGTGTGTGTCTAATATACAGACTTGATAAAACACATAATAGCACCCCCACCTGATAATAATCTGGTTTTATCTCTGCTCCTTTGCTCTCCACGTTCTCCTCCATCACTCATCTACCACGTTTTCTGCTTTTTGTGTTCATCTTATTTTTTTGCTTTTCTTTTCTTACTTTGGTAATGTCTTCTTTTCTTCCTTTTTTTTACACACACACATTTAATCTCTTCCTGTGGCTTCACTATTTCTCCACARTTTCTCTGACTCAAGCATTTTCTTTCCATTTTCATCTCCTCTGGGCTTCCCCCCTGATCATACCTTCTTTCTTCTGCTGTCTTTCTTTTGTAATAAATCCCATTTCCTCACACTCTCACTTTTTTTCAATTTTTTGTTCTTTCATCACTTCTAGTTTCTATTTCCTTGTGTGTCTTGATAGTTCTGTTTCTTTTATATCCACTCACTTTTCACATCTTTTRCTCAGTCACATCATAATGTTCTGATCCTTTTAACATCCTATTATCAGCCTGGTTTTTATTCCATTCATCTTCACCAACAGAAACTCTTTCATGATGATTATTTTGGTCTCTTTTCTAACCTCCTACTCTTTTTTTTCATCTCCTTTTCCTCCCGGTTTCCTTCTTCCCCCTGTGGCCACAGCAGCAGCAGCTCCAGCACCTGTCTCACCACGCTCCCGGCATCCCCCTGACGCCACACCCGTCAGGTCTGTCCCTGGGTGCAGGGGGCTCGGGGCTTCTGGCGCTGACTGGAGCCCTGGGGGTCTCGGCTCACCTTGCCTCCAAAGATGAAAGAAACCATCTCGATCCAGAACATCTTAGAGGTAAAACCCTTTTGACTTGCAGTTTAAGTAAAACTTAAATGTTCTGGCACTTTGTGTTGATGAGTACTAAGTACATAAACATGTGACTGAAAACTGTGTKATCAGCAGGAATCATTGATACTGTTGAATGTATTTGAAAGATGGTTTGTATAAAGGTACATTTTCCCCTAAAAAGTAAAGTTCATTTTGATAAAAGTTAATGAGCTTTGGCCAAAGAAACAAACAAAAAAAACAGCTAGAAAATAATAAACATTGCAATAATACAGCTTAAAAGTAGACAGTACTGCTAAATGTATTGCACCACATAAATCAGACCATAAGAAGGTAGTTGTAGCATTGACAGATTTGGGCCACATCAGAGGTCGTATTAATGGAATATTTTCTGTATTTGACCTTTTTTTTCCACAGTGACAGAAAAATCTGAAAGCCGTTCGTCATTTTGACAGATTGCAATTAACACCCTGACTTCCTAAGTCTGGAAAACTTAATAAATAAGCCAGGTGAGGTGGAGAAAAAAATAAACGAGGATTCGCAAGACAGATCTGTGGAATCACACTCATCATTTTCAGCTTTACGCACAGAGCAGGTCTACATCACRRAGGTGTCTTATTTAGTCTAAAATAAATAAAATATTCCCATCTGATCATCATCTCAGATCTAGACAACATACTGAATGCATCTCCAGGAGCTGACAGCACATTGAAGAGATAAGGACAGGAGGCTTTGGAGCGTCTGTGAGGAGCAGCTGAACCAGTGGCACAGCAAGAGCGAGCTGCTGGATCTCCTCCTGCTAAAGYGTCAGCTTGTGGGATTTGGATCTTGCTGACATCTGATCACTTCAACTGGAGAAATGTTTTCTGATATTAAAACTTTGGCTGAAATGGCGCATATTATTCCAACAGTGTTGCAGCAGAGCGTGAGTTTAAACTTAAGAACGACTGGCGCAATGAAATCCATACTCGTTTTCTGTTTTTATTTAATAATATTTTTATCATGGTGGCAGCAGTGCGTTGTGACTGACCGCTTCTCTGCTTTTCTCTCTTCTCTCGTCCTCCTCAAAGGAGGCAGAGACAGCAATACAGAGGCTTTATCTAATGTTGCAAACTGCAGCCATTAAATAACGTTTGTAGATTTTATTTAATTTTATTTTTTGTCTGTTCGCAAGGTAACTGAGTTAAAAGCGGGAAAGTGTGTGTGCGTCACATTTTGCGCATTGGGCCTGGTGTAGGAGACGGACAGAAGCGCTGTTTTTCAGCACCATGCGCTCCTGTGGCCTGTAAATCCTGCAGTCGCAGCATCTGAGACAAAGCTGCAAAACCAACATGACAGCACATTCTATTAAATGTTTAGTCATCGTTTAAAAAAGGAAGTGACGGGTAAAAATTGACCATGATAGATTTTTTTTATTTACCCTCTCAGTCAAAATGACGGACAACAAAAAAGTCTAGCGCAACATCTSGGCCACATATACCAGACCACAAACGGGCCAGTTGTGGCACTGACTGATTTGGGCCACATAAACCAAACCTCAAATGCCATCTTATAAACAGCACCACGATTCCCAGACCTGGCCTACATCTGGTTGACAAACAGCATCCAGCCAGTAGTGACAGCTTCACACCATATCTGGCCCACACATGTCTGCTATGTGGCATCTTTTCTATTATTTCCTTAAAATCTGGGCAGTGGTTCATTAAATATTTTGCTAACAGAAACAGAAAAATACAATCAGTGCTTTCATGGCAGCAGGTGATAAAAAAATAAAACTTTTAGAGCTAACTGTCAAACATTGTTTTTAAAAACCTACAGCAGTTCCTCAGCTCCTCTGTGCTTTCAGTGTTAAAAGAACTGATGCAACACAGCAGTAAACACACTGCTGTCAACTTTCACAACTTAAATGTGTTGCTGAAATCAAACTCAACATTTTGAAGTTTGATGTATTTGCCAGCTGCTGTCTTTCGATTACACATATCATTTTGAGTGTTCCGCTGTATAATTTTTATCTTTTATTTGTATTTCTTCACACATAAAATGTGGATGAAATGCAAAATATCACAACGGGTGATTTACGGTCGACAGAAACTCACCTTTTGGACTGAATTTGAACCTTCTTGTTTAGATTTGTGTTATAATACGAACTGATGTATTCACGATGCTTGTGAAAGGGCAGAAAAAAAAGCATTTTATTTATTTTTTCTTCATTTGAACTCCTATTCACCCCGGCAGAATATCTTATCTTCTAAGTTTCAGACACTGAGCCAACAGAGACTTCCTCTTGAATAAACTGACTGCTATAAGGAAAAAAAGGGGGACAAAAATCAGAGCAGAAACAGAAAAGATGGAGAGATCAGTGTATTCTTATTGTCATGTTGAACGTCTGTAATAGCTCATGCGTGTCTGCAGCCGTGTGCGCTTCTGCTCTTATTTCTAAAAAGAAGAATGAGGAGAGAAAAAAGCAACAAGCTGTGAGAACAAAGAGATGAAAAGGGAGACTGATATCAGGCACAATGGCAGGTTTGTGTCTTTATTAAAAGGGAGCAGTCGCAGTTCAGCCTAACCTTAGCTGACTCACAGCTGTTGTTGATTTGAAGAGCATCAAAACTGACGCCAAACCTTTTTCTCTTTTCTCTGTTGCCCTCTTCCTCCCTGGCTGATCTCTCCTGTGACCCTTTCCTCTGCCACAACCCCAGAGGGAGCACCCAGCAGGGTGAGTAGTTCTGTGCTTTGATATGTTTTGTACGCCCACATTTCACTGTGTGTGCTTGTGTGACAGTGATAAACAGAGGGGAATTGAGACATTGTTTTAAGGGGCAATATTGTGTAAAATCAACTTTTTTGAGTTTTATATCATGTTATAATGTTATACTCTCATCAAAAACATGCCCAGAGTCTTGCTTTGACTCATTCATGCATGTTTGAGAAACCCTGCAGCGTATTTAGGAAGCCATGCTGAGGAGCAAAACGACAGGTGGGGACCAGAAACACCCCTAGGACGTGTCTTTAAGCTGAGCTTCCTCATGGCAGAGCCCCCCTCCATTACCACCACCACCACCACACGCACACACACACACACACACACACACACACACACACACACCTCGCCCAAGACTCCTGCAGGCTCTCGGCAGTAACAAAGCAAATGGGTGAAACTGAAAGTGAAACTAAAACTGTCTGCTGAGCTCCTAACACCAGGCTACTTCTCACTCAGTGAAGCTCTTTTCAGATTCAAAATACCTTTGAGGAAATGTATTTTCAGATGGCAAGTAAACTGCATCATAGCGCGTGCGCGAMCCCCCCCTCCCCCCGCGCGCCAAAATKTGCGGGACAGAAGCGGAAGGTGGTTCTTACAGAGACAGAGGCCAGTTTCAAGGCGTTTAGAAGAGWAAGTGATGAGAAGATAAGTTTATTTTCTATTTAAACATAAAAACAGCATTTTAGTAACAACTAAAGAGGACATAGATACTTTATTATGGTATAGTGTTTAAATGTATGCCTGAGAAACACATAATATTGGCCCTTTAAAAGAAAGGAAGAGTGCAGCTGGATCTGATCCAAGAGGATCAGGGATCGACATGAGGAGATATTCCAGGTTGTCAACAACCTTTCAGTAAAGAAACCAAAAAATCTCAACAAAACTTTAACTTAAGTATATTGCGCTACAAACAAAATTTACTTCATACAAATGTTCTCAGTCAGCCAGGTTGTGGGTTGCTTGGATTTTTTTCTGCCTGCTCTGTTATGGCTGCTTGGGGGGAAACTGAGTTTTAGTGCCTYAAACGTAGAAATCTKCCAGTTTGTCCCATTGCTCCTCTCACTTAAGGAATTTGTTCAAACTATTAGTAAGTTGCAAAGTTGTGAGTGGTGCAAAACAAATGGTGTCCGTGAGTTCAGCAAAACCATGATTGGTCAGATCAGACTGACTTGATGGGGAAGGTAAAAGATGTGATCTTTAGCCAGGATTTACTTGAAAAAAGTATTGACCTTCGTAATTCTGTTTGGTGTATGGTTGTTAGTAAAATTATTGTGAACATGTAAATATAATTTATTGCCTTCAAATTTTGTGCAGCTAGCACCTTCCTGTCTTGAATATTTGTAAATATTTTGCCTAAGAAATTAGCAATCTTTTCATATGTGCTTTCTGGCCGTTTTGACCGAGCCAAATTGTTACATGTCCAGTCGAATCATTATGGTTTCTTCAAACCCCATCCAAAATACCCAGTTCGACCAGTCACGTCTTTTACAAACTCCCACATCCAGGAAGCTCCCACTTAGTGACTKCAGAGACCCCCTCCTCTGCCATCTTTGCACAAAGGTAGGGAAAATGCCTTTGTATTTGGTTGTCCACCAGACAAGCTCGAGGTGAGATCAGATTGTCCGATATGATAATAGGTTGTCTCAGAWACCAGACCACAACCGGGTCATGTCCATCTCTGATTATTGTGGCTCATGGGTGTTTGCCACAAGCTTCTCAAGGTTTCCTCCATCATGACGACCATACGTACAGGAAAACAGCTCCTTTTGTGTCAACTCTACAAATGTTCTTTTAATCTACAAGATTAGATGAACTAATGGATTAAAACACAGTTATTAACAAAAACATACATAAAATTCCTTTTTCTTTTGTTCTAAATGAGTTGATGAAAAAGACCCACTGAATATTTCCCAACAGACCGCTGACATTTATTTTATTTATTTGACATTTATTTCCCGCTGACATTTATTTGGTTAAATGTTTCCCAGCACCAACCAGTCTACAGTAATATTAGTTAATGAGAATACAGTTACACAACTGATGTTGTTGCGGTGAAGAGGGATCGCACACCAGAAAACAACAACTGAGTTTTTACAAAATAAAAGTTAGCTGTAGTGCTGCTGTTTCATTTAACAGTTTCACAGAAAAAAAAACCGGTTCTCATTTCTTAAATGGGATTTAGGCTCCGTGTAACCATTCCTTAATGAAAACTTGCTCCGTGTGACATAGTTTAGTTGTTTTTTGATGATATTTTGCGATCAMGTGTTGAATGAAAAAATGAATTAATGCCTTCAGTTTTTTATTGTTTGTGTTGTAAAGTAYAAATAAAAAAAAGGTTCCCTTTCCACAGTGAAACTTTTAGCATGGTTTGGTTTGTAACCAGCAAACTGAAAAGTAGAAGGGGAAAATACATTTTGGTTAAGAGCTTGACGTCACAAGTGACATTTCTCAGAAAGCTCCACTCTGATAAAACTTCATTTTAAAATGGGGCAGAAGGAAAACGGGGACAGATAAAAGCAGGGACGATGGAAGTTTGAGCTGAACTGAACTCCATTATGTCGTTTCTTTTCTCCTCTGTTGGGGCTGTTGTTGGGGGGTGGGGGGGCGGAGAAGTGGTCCTCACCAAACCTCTTGTCCTTACCCCCCAACACCAACACAACACAAGGCTTTGATTGAGTTTCTTTAGCTCTAAGCACCAGTATGGGGGCTTCATTGTAAATATGCCAGCACAGCTTTATTACCCAATAATGAGGGTCATATTTTACACGAACACTGGCGTGTYGAGGGCAGAGCACTAATTAGCTTTATAGGCTGGGCTGTGTAGYTGCTATAGCTGGCGTCTGCTTTTCTTTCCGTGTCGCTCACATGTTTTTCTTCACGCCATTACCTGTACACCAGAGCTGCTCCTGTATGATTTTACAATAAAAAAAAAGATTGATGATCTCTTTGTTGTCTCTCAATCTATTCCGGCTCCTGTTCTGACAACTGTGTTTTTGTTTCCCATCCTTCTGTTTCCTCAGAGTAAGTCTGTGTCGTCGACAGACAGCCAGCCGAACGAGGAGCGCCAAGGCCCATCAGGAGGATACTCTTCCCTGCAGGGAGGAGCTGAGGCCAAGAGGAGGCGCTGTGATGACAAAGAATCACTCCCTCCACACTCCTATGTATGTTTCTGCATTTTTGTCCTAGATTTTCTCATGACACTGAAAGGTAACTGCGGGTWGTTGTAACATTAGACGTTGTTACTTCAACAAGAAAACAAAGACTAAAARTACTATAGACTGTTCAGTTTTTATAAATTGAAAAATATATTGTCACATGGATGCTTCCATGTTATTTACGCTGCAAAGTATTTTGAGGAAATGATGATGCTGACAAGGTGCTTTAGTGCGAGGCTGCTCTATCCAGTTTGAATGTTAATTTTGGACAATATCTGGCATTCAGTCCTTTTAAATGAAACCAGAGCACACTGACAGAGAGGACAATGTAGAAATGACTCAGCCTGAAACTGAAAATGATGATAGAGGACAACAGAGCTGCGTCATAGAAGGAGAACCTCAGCWTAGCCTGTTAGGTTTCGCATTAGCTTCAGAGCTAATAATATTAGCTCTGAAGCTTAAGCTGCATATTTATAATATATATGACGTCAATATATATATATATATTAGGGGACACTGATTGTTACAGCCTATGTATTGTCCAGAACATAGAAACTAATGCAAATTTATTGTCTCACATTCTACTGTATCTTTTTAGCCTCGATTGTGTTTTAGTCTCAACTGTCTCACATTCATTGCATCAATAACAAAGTGGAGACATGCTGAGGTGAAAAATGCAATGAACAGACAATATTTTAAGTAGTTTGCTGTTTTCTCATGTCAAAAATAAGTTTTAGTAGAATAGAGAAATAACAGATTATTAAGGCCAACGTGTGAAAATAACCTGAGATCCCTTTAAGTATCGATTATTCAAGTCTAAATATATATAAAAAATGTTTCTAGCTTGGTGCTTCTGTAGATAAAATCATAATTTGGACAAATTTATTAAAAGAAAGCATTTTGCGACACTGTAACCACCTTTAATGTGTTTTTGTGTGGTTCACTAAAGGCCACAAGTGGGTCTGGAGCTCATCTCCTGTGTGTGTTTGGTCTGAATGGGTCTGCTGGGGAAGAGCAAGCAGCCAGAGGGAATGTAATGCCAGGGGAGAGATGGCCAAGGCAGATAGCTGTAATGAATTAGATGTTTGTGTGTTTGCAGTCTGGAGCATTGATTGACACGAGGAGTTTGTCTTTGGAAGGCGGCCTCTGGCTAAATCGGTTTGGCATCAACAAAAACGGCCCAAATCCTCCCCATTAGTCCAGAGTGGGAACAAGCTGCAATAGTTTCCACTCTCGGTGTTCTTCTGTCGAGTGTTGTTTCACCTCTCATTTCTCTCTCTTCGTCTGTCTCTTTAGAACCATTTCTCCATTCTTCCCCCCTGCTTTCCTCTTATCCTCCGTGTCCTCTCACTGCTTTTATTTTTGTTCCATTATTTAATTATTTTTAACGTCCCGTCCGTCTTCGAGTCTATTCTGCTCGGCCGAGTTTGTATTTTTCTTCTACAAAAATCGGCTGACGGCATTGTCCCGGTTTGGCTCTGTATAATTAGGTACTGATGTCACTCCACACTGATGTCAATAGAAATATCAGGCCACGATCACATCAAAGCGTTGTTACCATGGCGACTAAGTGCCATCCTTCTCACCCCAGAAAAAAAGACAGAAATAATAATATTAAAAAAAATTGAGACATGGCTGGGCGAAGAGTAAGACTGSCATGAATGGAGGAGTGTGAGAGGAGAAAAAACAAGTAGTTTGTATATGGGAGGTGTTTGGTCAGAATCTATGGTCAACAGTATCTGTGTTTAATGTTGCATGGAGGACAGACAGTGAGAGGAAGCAAGAAGCAGCCAGTGGTATTGATATATTGATCTGTGTGTGTGCACTGGAGCTGCTGTGTGTGTGTCTTTTATTATTAAAGCCCTTTATTTACAGGTTCACAATACTGTACTGTGGGTGTTAGAGCGGGAGRAAAAAACAGTTTTTTTTCCTTTGCCTCCTCAGGACAGTGATGGAGACAAAAGTGAAGACAATCTTGTAGTGGACGTCTCCAATGAGGTGAGTTTCCAACCGTTACTGATATCCTCCTTTTTTAAAACTAAATTAGCATCTTTTTTGGTTGCAGCTTACAGACGTTTTTGTGAATAAATGCTTATCTTTGCTAGCCATTTTTTCAGTAAATGTAAAATAGTTGTAATTATTTTAGGATCTGCAGAAAATAATAATAATAATAATAATAATAATAATAATAATAATAATAATAATAATAATAATAATAATAATAAACAGCACTGACTGCTGGGGGATTTTTCCTCTCCAGTGAGTCTGATTAGTTAATTTAATTACAGTACAACATTAAAATAGGTTTTGTTTAAACAAAACTTTAAGTTACAGGTAGAGATTTAGACATAGCTGCATATCTCACACAATTGTTTTTATTTTCACAGTTTTGGGTTTGTTTTTACTTTGAACAATTAAATACAAAGTATGAGCTCTTGTGTACCTGTCATAAAAAATTAYTTTAGTAAGATTTTTATCTATGATGAAGTGTCTTTGTACTTTTAACAGAATATCTCATTAATTACTGAACATAAATAAAATTTTCAGTGGGTGATCATTAGCTATACATGTACATATGAGTAACTTCAGGAGTCAATTAAGATGGCTACCAGAGTTATTTAAGCTTAACCTGCACTGAAATGGCTAAAACTAAGTGAAGTTTACAATAAATGAAATATTTGTCCTTGTAGATTACACAAGATCACTGAGGGTGTATTCATACCAGGAAAGTCCTTTGGTCCACTTGTTTGGTCCGGACCAAATAGCTGATTTTTTTTTCTTTGGTGCAGTTTGCATTCACATTSTGCTTTTTGGAAGTGGACTATAATTTATAACCAAAGCCATGCGGGTGACGCTCATTGCTCCTATTGGACAGAAATGACGGGGGCAGGACAGAGCACWGACCTGGAAATAAAGAYGATGCTGTTAATAAAACTGACWATTAAGAATATCAAGAATGTCATTCAGTGGTAATTTTGCGATGATGTACTTATAATTTTGGGACATTGTTGTCAAATTTGTGCGGCAACTTAAAGGAGGTAAGATGCTCTGCGTTCCCTGACCCACAACAGCTCATTGTTTGTAGCACTGTGTTGATAATAGCAACACTGAAGGKCKAATGTTGCTTATTTACRGTAGCTCGTGAAGAYCAAAAAGGCGAATGTTTCCTGTAGTTGGTTCAGTTYGAAGCCAGTCTGTATTCACACTRGAAGTGAACCGCWCCAGAGTTTGTTTGGAAGTGGACCAAGACCACMTCAAAAATGGGTCTCGGTCCGGTTGGTTGATCCACACCAGGGTTCACATGAGTGTATTCACATCTGTACAAAAGGTCCGGACCAACGGGGGAAACAAACTCTGGTCCATTTATAGCAGACCAAATGTGTCAGGTGTGAATACACCCTAAAATATTATARTATTGCATTAGATTGCACATAACTTTATTTTTATGTGTTGAGCCAAATGACTGTAACCCCATGATTTTTCAACATAAGATGATCGTAGTCAAAARCTCAGGAATTATTCATTCTTTATGCTTATTCTTTTATTCATGCTTTTACAAAATGTTTCAACCAGACACAAAGTTCCTCCATTGATAACTAAAATATTTGACCCTCACTAAAGAAACATTTGACAATTTGCATATCCACTATGAAAACATTCAAATATTCTCACATCTTCTCCTCACTGCTACAGTACATCCATCTGTTACAGATCAGATCTTTGAGTTTCTTATTAAGCCACATATGACTGAATTAAACAAAATGTTTTTATCAGACAGACGCTGCAGCCCACACTTAAAGTATTAAACTAATATTAGAAGGATCGGTGTTGCTCATAAAACTGTCTGTAGATGAGCTGTGCCCAGAGTGGAACCAGAGCTTTGGACAATTGTTTTAGTACTTTAGTTTCAGATTTAGTGATTTATTTTTGTTTTGCTGGATTCTGATTGTTTCAACATCACGTGAACATTGGAGGCAGTGCCACTGGCTTGACTGACTGGGGTGGTGGTTCTCTTCAAATAAGGGGATCGGAGGTTKTCAGTCTGTTTAGCTTCCCCGGAAAGGTCTATTCAGAGGTGCYRGAGAAGGGAGTCTGATTGAWGGTMCAACCTCAGATTCAGGAGGTTCCATCCTGGCCATGAAACACTGGACCAGCTCTTAGGGTCCTCGAGGGGTCATGGGAGTTTGCCCATCCAGTCTGCATGTGTTTTGTGGACTTGAAGAAGGCCTTCAACCATGTTTCTCGAGGTACACTGTGGGGGTGCTCCACAAGTCTGGGATTGTGTGTTTGTTGTTACAGGTCYATCAGTCTCTATACAAGCTGTGCAAGAGATTCGCATTGCTGGCAGTAAGTCGGACCCCTTCGAGGTGGAAGTTGGACTCCACCAGGGCTGCCCGTTGTCACGATTCTGGTCATAACTTTCATGGACAGAATTTCTCGGTGCAGCCAGGGGGTAAAGGGAGTCCAGTTTGGTGGCCTCAGGATTCCATCTCTGCTATTTGCAGATTCTTCCCTGAAGGAAGAATGGAGTGTGAGATCGACAAATGCATTGGTGCAGACTCTGTATACTGGGTTGTTGTGGTGATGAGGGAGCTGAGCTGTAAGCTGAAGCTCTCTGTTTACGGGTCGGTCTACGTTCCGATCCTCGCTTATGGCCGTGAACTTTGAGTTGTGACCAAAAGTACAAGATCGTGGACACAAGCYGRTGAAATGAGTTTACTCTGCAGGGTGGTTGGACGCTCCCTTAGAGGTAGAGCGAGAAGTTCAGTTCAATTCAGGAGCTGCTGCTCCTCCACATCGAGAGGAGCCAGTTGAGGTAGTTTGTCCAKCTGAGAAGAGACKCAGAGGAAGACTCAGGAAACAGTGGAGAGACTATGTCTATYACCTGGGAATGCCTTGGAATCCTCCCAGAAGAGATGGCTGGAGAGAGAGATGGGGGTCTGGTTCTTCTTGCTCAAGCTGCTGCCACCGTGACCCAACTCTGGAACAAGCATGGATGGATGGATGGATGGATGGATGGATGGATGGATGGATGGATGGATGGATGGGTTCTGATTATCTCACACTCAAACTTGACAGGATTTATGTATTAATATGAAGGTGGATGTAGTAGGTACAGTAGGTGTGGTGAACATTATAGTTGCTAAGAGAAAACATTTCTATTCTAGATTTATTTTTATATCTGTCCTCAAAAATGATGTTTGACTTGAACAAACTGTGTATTAAAATGGTAGCAGATGAGGACAATTCTTTGCACAACAGCTGAATTGTGTTTTTATTTTATTGCGTGCGTGTCTGGATCCTACCCATCCATTTTCTTTACCCACTTCTTTTTTCTGGGTCGTGGGGAGCTGGTGCCTATGTCCAGCAGTCACTGTATAAAACAGGGMGGGGGGGGGGGGCAGCCCTGACAGGAGGCTGGTCCATCACAGAGACACTTAAAGCCAAACAACCATTCACACTCTACAGGGACAAATCCGAGTGTCGTGCCTGTGTGTGAAATATGAAACGAGGCAGCAGGTACGCAGCTCGTTRGGCTGCCCGCTGCAGTTTCCTTGTAAACAGGGAGAACTCTTGTGTAAGCTCATTATCAGCTGCCACTGTTTGTGCTCTCCTTTAGTGAAACAAGTTCTCACACACACACACACACACACACACACACATACACACACACACATACTGACACAACCCATGCATTCACAAATACTTCACCCATCGCCTCTCATCTCCCTCCTCAGAGTATATTTCTGTCCTCCCCCTGCACTCTCGAGGCATCTCTTCATCCTCCTCTCCACCGTCTCCTTCGCTCTGTTCGCCTCAGCACTCTCTCCACTCCTTCCTCCGCTCATTAGATAGCTGCAGTCTGGCTCCTTTAAAATATGCAAAGCCATTCATGCCACAGGAATATTTTAGTTCTTTAAATACTTCCCGCTGTGCACCGAAACTATGTTTCATCTAAGCCTTCTGTATTTTGATATGGCACACAAAAGCAAAACTGGTCTCTGGTGAGATTTGCACACTGGTACGCAATCAGAGAGGAGGAAAATAAGACAAATAGGGGTAATGAAAGAAAAAAGAACAAGTTGTGTTTCATATTTTTGTCAAAATCTACGTGTTTAAATGTGAATTATGTGAGTATGACCTTTGTTCTTGGCAAAAAAGCATGAGTAAACTATACAAATATCTGTGTGTGTGTGTGTGTGTGCAGGACTATGTGTGTACATAAGCACCAAAATGACTGCACTGATCACTGTGAACCGGAGAGATGTGCTTACTCTAGCACTCTGTTCTGGGGAAGTCAGTGCTCCGGTAATGAAAGCATGTGTAACAGCCACATTATCACCAGGTCCACACACTGCTGCAGCCGTGACACTCGCTGCAGTTTTATGTAATGATCTCTGAGCTTTCAGTCCCTTCACACATACGCAACACACACTGGGAAGCCAGAGATTATGTTGGATCTGTGTTAGAAAAATTAGAAGCAAAGGAAAAAAAACACTAATATCTGCAGCTAATATTTGGAACTGTACCGGCCAGTCTGCAGAACAGAGCAGTGTTCAGGGTTTTGACTTTAATACTCCAAACTCAAATTTATCTAAGCTAGGTTTTCTTTAACTTCATAAGAATACACAATAATTCTGACTGGCTACTATGGGTTTAGTGTTTTACTTATAATGAATAGAAAAAAACAATAGGTAAGACACATAATTTAGCTATACATTCACATTCAGCTCAAGATTTTTGTATTTCAGTTAGTCACAATAAACAATCCGTGTTGGTTTTGTTGCAGTTTTAGAAGGCTTGTTGCAGTAATTGACAACAAAAAGCAAACAGTTAATCCACCCCTTGTTGAAGAGGATGGATAAATATCTAACTGCTCATTTGACACAGAAATTTAAATTGTTATACCAATGCAGTCATGGTGGAAAGAAGTTATTGTCCCCAATCACAGAGAGAAGAAGGGAATTGGAAATACGTTTGTCCGTCCAGCCTGTGAGCTAGTTAACTTATAAAATAAGTGAGGCACTGACTTCCATTTTGGTGTGTGGCTGCATGTAGGCGTAAGAAAGGTCACTGTTGAATATTGGGTTGTCACGTCAAAATTCAAGATGGCCACCACCATAAATGTATAAACAGTCTCAGCACCAAGTGTTCCAATGATCACTGGAAGTGCTGATGCTTCGACTCTCTGCAATGTTTGTATTTTCTGTCAGCGCTTGATATTTCTCCAGCTTCTTGTACTGCTTCTTCATGTTACAGTTACTATTGCCACGTCTAACATCACTGCCTCCTCTTGCTTGTCAAACAGCCCAATGTCTGTTTGGTTAGCCATTCCCTGTCTTTCAGACTGGATCTGGAAGTCCCACTGTATCTCTCCCACTTTGACTCTGGGACGCCCAGTCCATACTCTGCACAGATGTTCCTGTTTGTTATACCGGCCATTTTGCCTTGCATGTCTTACATCCTGCCAAATTATTTGTAATTATCCTGGACATYTTCAGTGTTGCCTTCAGGTAGTYCAACCCCTTCATTKGGGATYACCTTTCCTGTCTTGCAAACCAACTGACTGCATTTATCCAGTGTGAACGATATCCAAATGACCTTGCTGCATATTTGGGTGCAGTGGATCAGTGAGTTGTTGTTTCACTCATTGTTGGCAGACAACTTGATGTCATCCATTTAGAGGAGGTGACTGATGTTCCACTTTAGAACTGAGATATGTGTACTGTATATACAGTATAAATATATAACCCAGCCACCACAATCATTTGAGGGATGTATGCTCGCTAGTCTTTATATTGTTTAAAAGTATAGTTTCCTTCGATGATCGGGGTGACCAAAGGTCAATCCATGGTGGGCAAGGCTACCAGTGGTCACCTCCAGGCTCCGACATCACTCCTGGATAAAACCACTCACCAGGATCCATCATTTTGCACTGCCTCAAACAAGAAAACAAAAAAACAAAAATAAAATAACACTGGTTTTATACACAGTGTAACTTCCTACTAGAGTTTTACTTATACAGGTCGTCTTCAGTTCCTGTCCAGAAAACAATTATCTCAAAAACTAAAAATATTCACTATTCTAATCCCTCAGCAACAGGAAACCTTGGCCTACTGCTTGTTGGTTGTTGATTCACATCTTTTTCTGCAGGCAGCATGCGAGGAACATTTAGGGAGTTTTGGCCTTCTTAGATGATGTTTTTGTTCAGTATTGTTTTCATATCTTAGCATAACAAACATACAGCAGGAGTTTTTATTATACTTTGAGTAATATCATCTTGATACTATTCAAATACTGTTAAATTTTCTAGAAACATACCATCTGTCCATTACTTGTCCTTTAGACTTTAAAATTGTTTAATTGCAAAATTCCAAGTAATTATCAAGGACAAAGACATAATGGCAGAATGATTATTATGATGCATCGTGATGCTCTGACTGCAGAGGAATCCATTATGTCACTTACTTGAACAATTTTTCATTAGGTTCTTAAACCAGCTGTAGCAACATACAGTTAATGAGAAATAAAAACCTGATGAAAATATTTATTATAATAAATATAATTAATCAGAAAGTGGATAATAAAAGAAAATCTCTTTGGCCATAATTCTACAAATGTGCTCTTTATCTAAATGTACAATAAAGCAAGCATTAAAATTAAAGGTTGCGGAAAGAACTATAATGTCTTTGTGTCACCTTAGACTAAAAAGACAATTTATTTCATTTCATTTATTTCATTCATAAAAATAACAAAAAGACCATTAAGAAACAAAGTACCGGTAAATCAATTATTGAATGAAAAGGGTGGAAAAAGAAGAAACATTCTTTTTTTGAAAAAAATAAAATAAAAGCTTTAACATTTGAGTGGACATTAAATACATATATTTTTTCTTCTATCACTCAGGAGCCTAACTCTCCTGCCGGCAGCCCGCCTCATTCCCCCCATGGGAACGGGCTGGACCGAGCACCTACCCTGAGGAAGGAGCTCCCCGGTTCCTCGAGCACCGGAGACGCTCCTTCCACGCCTAACCCTCGCAGTCCCACCCCCGGGAAGACCAAGGAACCTGCACAGGTACAACACAAARCAGCCGAAAGAGTTCCTGCTTTTCACTGAAGTGGTTTCTGCAGTTTATTACACGTTGGGAAAAAAAAATGATTACTTTTTTAAAGTAATATAGAATGTTTTTTATTATTCATTTTGTGATATCTGGCCACTTATTAGCATATCTTATGCAATCATTTTTATGAGTTTCTATAAGGAAGGAATAAAAGAAAGCTGTTTTACAGAAATGATTTCATGTTTTAATGAACTGCTGTAATATAAGCTGTTCCACTGTAACAGAAACCAGAATCAAGAGGGAATTAAAAGTGGTTAGTTTGGTTCTTTTATTCTCCACAGATGGATAAGTCTCAATCTCCGTTGTCCAAATCTGGCACCCCCTCCCCGTCTCACCGTGAAGCTCTTACCCCCGGAGCACCAGGAGCCCCTGGAGCTCCAGGTCCCAGCACCTCCTGCCTTCGCCTGGTTAGCAAAGCAGCAACCAGTGCAGACCCTCTTGGTAAAACTCACCTGCCCGACTCCCATACCTGCTGATGTTTTTCAAAATAAAAGTATTTACATTTTTAACAGCAGGAAAAATAATGTTAACCAAGCTCATGTTACATTACATTTTCCTTTATTATGCACTACATCTGTTCTGCTACTGTTTTTAGGTTTGTGACATGTTTAATAGAATTACACAACTTGTTGATTTTTTTGTTTTGTTTTGTTTTAGCCATTTGAATAGAACATATCGGATTTAGTTCTTTGAATTTGAAGTTTTTCATCCAGCCCCCCTCTGTCCTTCATCTCACACCACCTCTGACCCATCGGTTTTAATTTTTCATTATTTTTTAAATTATTAAATCCTTCTGTGGACCCACAGTAAAAACAGTTGTATTGGATGTCTCCCTTGTCTGAAACTTTTTAACATAAAGGAGGTTGTTTGTTCGTGTTTGGCAACATTGCTCCCGTTTTTTCTTCCCACCCTTCAACCACTCCTTCCTCTTTCCCTCTCCTCCCCAGCTCTCCGCAGTCCCATGTCTGTGCCCCCTGGTTCATACCCGGCTCATTTTGGCGTGGTGTCCCACGCAGGACTGAACGGGGAGCTGGCCAGCCCGGGAGGATTCGGAGGGGCTCTCACGCTGTCCCCGCAGATCAGTGCAGCAGCCAGCGCCTACTCCCGCAGCCCCATGGTGAGCCGAGACCGACGTCTTCCTTCCTGTCAGGCTTTGATTTATTGTTCAGATCCAACCCTCCGACTGTCATCGCGCCGTTGAAACGTTTGATAAATTGGCTCTGCATTGTCAGTATCAGCTCAGTGCATTCATTATGTGCTTAAAGTTGTCATGTTTACATTCTCTAATCCACTTTCATATAGAGCGACAGTGATAGGGAAGATAAATGATGCAGCTGAAAGTGTTTTATTCTTTTGCACAACATTCCTGATACTTCACATCTGTAGGATCATGTGTGTAGGCACAAAGATGATCTAACAGGTCAATCACAGAACATTTATCATGTTCGGTTGGAAAATGTATTTACATGAACAACTAACAACTTGAAAAGTGTGTGTCAAACTAAGTTTCTTTTTTTTCTTCTCTCCAGGTGGCGTATGACTCTCGGTCTCACCTGAGAGCTTCAGGGCTGTCGACCTCTCTGCCCGGCTCCTCTGGTGGCAAACCGTTAGTAAACACTTTATATATGTAACAATTATTAGTAAACACCTCATATATGTAACAATTATTAGTAAACACCTTATATATGTAACAATTATTAGTAAACACCTTATATATGTAACAATTATTAGTAAACACCTTATATATGTAACAACTCTTAGTAAACCCCTCATATATAAGAATTATTAGTAAACACCTTATATATGTAACAACTCTTAGTAAACCCATCATATGTAACAAATATTAGTAAACCCCTCATATATGTAACAACTCTTAGTAAACCCCTCATATATGTAACAACTCTTAGTAAACCCCTCATATGTAACAATTATTAGTAAACACCTTATATATGTAACAATTATTAGTAAACACCTTATATATGTAACAACTCTTAGTAAACACCTTATATATGTAACAATTATTAGTAAACACCTTATATATGTAACAACTCTTAGTAAACCCCTCATATATGTAACAACTCTTAGTAAACCCCTCATATGTAACAATTATTAGTAAACACCTTATATATGTAACAATTATTAGTAAACACCTTATATATATATAACAACTCTTATTAAAACCCTCATATATGTAACAGTTATTAGTAAATGCCTCACATATGTAACAATTCTTTGTAAACACCTTATATATGTAACAATTAGTGAACATGTCATATGTAACAATTCGTAGTATGTGTATGTGTGTGTGTGTGTGTGTGTATATATATACTGTATATACACATTTACTTATTTATTTATTTATATACTTTATATTTTAGAGAAAATTAAAGTGCATCTTAAATGTTTGATTACAACATTCATGGAGAAAGGTGATATTTCTGATTATCCCACTGTGATTTTACTCTGAAATTGCAGGACATGTTCGGATTAGAAAAGTGGCTTTTTTTCTTGGTGTCAGACTAAATTCCATTCATTTTGGAAATCATGCAACATTTCTGATGTTCCCAGCAGCTCAGAAACATTTGCTCCTTTTTTCTTCTTTGGCACCTTAAGAGTTGTGATGTTTTGCTTCTTTTCTGCAGAGAAGCAATCCATTGCTGTGCTGCTAATTAGAAATCATAAAACAGCCCTGGCTTCCAGCCGCTATARTATTGATCAGCCATTAGCAGTGCCACACCAGATCTGCCCTCTAACACAATCTGTCATTATGTATTCACCACCACAGCTACTCTGAGTTCAGTAATTGCCTGATTTCGAGAAATATTACCAGAGTGTCAAAAAGTGACGTCAGACTTCGGGACTTTACTCTAACGTCTGTGTGATTGTTTTTGAATCTTCCACACATGGATTGATAGATTTTTTTTTTAATTTTATTTTACAGCTTGTTTCAGCAGCCCTGTTTCATCCCCAAGATTCCGTTTTATTCAGATTCTCTGCCTTCTGTCTCCGTCTCAGTGCCTACTCGTTCCACGTGAGCGCCGACGGTCAGATGCAGCCGGTGCCGTTTCCCCCCGACGCCCTGCTCGGTCCGGGAATCCCGCGTCACGCCCGTCAGATCCACACATTGAGCCACGGCGAGGTGGTGTGCGCCGTCACCATCAGCACCTCCACGCGCCACGTTTACACCGGAGGCAAGGGCTGCGTCAAGGTGTGGGACATCAGCCAACCAGGAAGCAAGAGTCCCATGGCCCAGCTGGACTGTCTGGTGAGACGGGTCGGAGCCCGGAGGCTGTCGTTTCCTAACCGGAGACGCTAATCTTATAATCGAGTTCTTTGTTTCTGTCTTCCTGGTCCGATCAGAACAGGGATAACTACATCCGCTCTTGCAAGCTGCTCTCTGACGGGCGAACCCTGATCGTCGGCGGCGAGGCCAGCACGCTGTCCATCTGGGATTTGGCCACGCCCACACCACGCATCAAGGCGGAGCTAACGTCGTCCGCTCCGGCCTGCTACGCCCTGGCCATCTCTCCCGACAACAAGGTCTGCTTCTCCTGCTGCAGCGACGGAAACATCGTGGTCTGGGACCTCCACAACCAGACGCTGGTCAGGTGAGAGCAGAAAGTGCTGACTCATCCAAAACAGTTCTCATCCGGTCAGAGGAGAGCTGACTGAAACCAGAGACCAGGATGAATTCATCTAAAACTGGCAAAGACAGGAAACTCATCTCATCTCTGATTACTTTAGTTTATTTGTTAACAAAAGATGTTC